AATGAATTAGATCGGAACCTGTGCTGTTAATGGTTTCTTAACTCCTTGTACCTTCAAGAGAAAATAGTATATATATATATATATATATATAGCGCTAAAGCAATTATCGCATTAGCAATTAGGTATTTTGTAATTCGAGATGGGGGTTATAATAGCGAGGCTTTTTCTATTCAATATTTCGTGGTTATCGATTTGTGTGTCTGGTCATGTAGCATTTAAACTCCGAATAATTTATTTTAAATTACTTTGGCAATTGTAATTACATAACAGTTTTTCTTTAGCAATTATCCCATCTCAAAATGAACTCCTATTTTTTAATCCACTTCTTATGGGCCCTGTCGTTCTGCTGCGCCCGCCGTTTCCACCCTCTCTTTATACCGTGGACTCGTTCGGCTAATGATGTTCTGTCGCATTCAATAGCGTTGGCATAATTATTTGTAGGCCTGTGTGTACATATGTATATAGTGTTAATGGTATTGTGTTCGCGTGATATATGTCTTTTGTTCAGCTAAGCGGGTCGTTCATAAGTGGTGTCACGCTATTTACCTTCCTTCACCCCCACCCTTCTACTCTATCGTCACACGGCGTCACAAAATGCCATGCCTCACCTCCCTCCTTTAGATGACATCAGTCTTTCCTTAACCCTAATCCCGGCCCGATAATCTTAATTATAACTAATACTACGAAATATGACCTACATCGCGTTCCGTCCACGTCACATAAGCGCGACCCGTTCCCCTTAGGCGGCAGCCGTCATTTATGGGCGACCCTTAACCTTGTCACCGCCCTCTACACACTCGTTAAGAATTGGAAAGTGGTTTGAGCCGTTGGTTCTATCATCCACGTGAACACGCGACAAATGTATTAGATTATTAGATGGTCCGTGGCTCTAGGTTTCTTCCCTCTTACTCTTAATGCTGGTTTTTTTTTTCTAATGATAGCAACCACTGACTTGGCTACCGTGATGTGGTTGATTCCAGGGGCGGAACTATCATACCGCCAGACCCCGCAATGCGGGGGGGGGGGGGGCCAGGACGTTTAGGGGCCCAGTTCCGACCAAAAAACAATGAATTTTTTTTTCAAAAATTATGTTTTTCATGCATCTTGAAAGTGGTTTTGTAAAAAAAAAAAAAAAAAAAACAGGTCTACTATAGCAGAGATTGTTGCGTAGAAAAATATTTTAAAATCTACAAGAGCTACAGTTTGAAAGGTAGGTAACCATTCACACTACTTCCATGACTTACTGCCCTTCTTTAAAATAGGGATGCCCACGAAGCTCGTTTAAATAGTTTTGTACTATGTACATTAAAAAGCAATTGAATCTCTGAATTGTTATTTAAATAAGACGTACTATACAATAGTATAGCTATAAAAATCAATGTTTTCAAAATTGATATTACAAAAGCCAAAAATGAAAAAAATAAACATAACGCGAGAAACCATTCACGAATCAAGTTAATGTCTTTATATATTTCTGACCAGCATGTTTGGAAACACCTATAATTCAAGAAGAGTTTGAACTAAATGTTTTCTGTTTTGTTATCTCAGAATGGTTATAGATCTATATTGTAATGAAGTAGACTAAATTACTCAGGATATAGCTTATATATATATATATATATATATATATATATATATATATATATATATATATATATATATATATATATATATATATATATATATATATATATATATATATATATATATATATATATATATATATATATATATATATATATATATATATATATATATATATATATATATATATATATATATATATATATATAGGGGGCCCTAGTTTTTTCTTTGCGGGGGAGCCTTTGATTTCTAGTTCCGCCACTGGTTGATTCCTCTTAATAAAACCACTGACATGGTTACAGTGCTGTGGTTGGTTCCTCGTGATTAGCAACCACTGACATGGTTACCGTACTGTGGTTGGTTCCTCGTGACAGCAACCACTGGCATGGTTACCGTGCTGTGGTTGGTTCCCCGTGATAGCTACTTGAAGCCTTCTGTTCTATTAGGTTAAGGTATTACCCTCCCCATATTTTTATGACCTCTGAAATATTTTTGCAACACCTGTGATCGGTTGTTAACGTGAAAATATGAATATCGCTTACATATTTTTCAAAAATCCTCACGTGATTTCTACACTCAAGTTTAGTCAAACTTACCTTCCCAGTCATTAACCTCGTGTACATTTATCTCGCCATTGAAATATGTACGCTATCTAGTATCTCTTAACATCAGTGATGTGGGAAAGGTGCATGTCTGTTTGATAAATGTCTTTTCGATTATAGCATCCTTTAGGTAGTTGTAGGTTTCAGGAGCTGGTAAGCCCATATTTTCCCCCATTTTATAAAGGGCTTGCAAGGGGGGGGGGCATTCTCCCGTAAAGGCCAACATTCATTACTTTGAGTTCCGCGGGTTAGCAGCCGGTTGATAATTAACTATTTAAGAGCAAATGTGAAATTTGTCACCCATCTTTTGGTTACTGGAATTGTTGCCTAAAATAGACCAGAGTCTGACGATAGTTGTGGTCACTAATTTAGTCTCTTTTTTTTGCCTAAGTTACTGAAACGATTAGGTTATTCACCCATGTTTAACAAAGAAATGATACCGTGCATTAGCTGAACTAGTAAAAGCTATTTCTGTTGTCTTTGTAAATGTAACTCCGTTTTTCAAGTGTGCTAAGAGAAGGTAGCCTTATATTGTGTGACGTAGGAAATGACGCGGGTAATAGCCATCCCACTTGGATACAATATAGGCCACACGGCTAGCATGCCAATGATGATTCATGGGGTGCTCAGTTTTTATCAGACGGCAAAACGTACTTGTTGCATTTTTATTTTGAAATTGGGCCAACAGCTTAGAAGTAAACATTCTTGTCTGAGATGTAACTTTAAACTAAGCCCACAGCCAAGACAAAGGTATAGGTTCTATTGATGGATGCCGGTTTTTTTTTTTTTGTAGCGGATTACTTAGGAAAATAAAGTAAACGCTTGAGAAACTAACAATCTCACATAACATGTATGTTTGAACCGTAAGAGCCTGTACATGACACCTTTCCTCTGCTTTAAAAACCTTTAAACAAACAAGACTCCGTGTCACCGTAGGTGTGGTTTCAACTGTAGCTTCGACTGACTTATCTCCGTGTGCTGTTCCATTACTCACTTGACTGCAGCTATCGCCACCCAAGCCAACCGTTGGCTGGTAATAATGATTGTTTTGCTTCACGGGTGATCAGTTTTAATGAATATCTAATAGGGACAAGGCGTGAGCCCCGCTGGTTTCATTTCTCAACGTACTAGTTATCAGATTGGATATTTCTCCAAGGCATTCACGAAACCGGTTACTCTATTTCCCCTTAGCTCTTTTTGTTTTGTTTTGTGTTTATAGACATAACGGTGTCTAGTGCCAGTTTTTAATTTTACAATACCTTTTTTTTTCTTCGCGTGCGCTCAAGGCTAAGAGAATTTTTTTTTTCTGGAGGGATGGGGAGTAATGATGATTCAGGCACGAGGGAAGAGCTAAGCGCTAATTTTTTTTAAATTTTTTTTTTTGCGCGCGCGCGTTAAATTATGAGTGTGTTTGAAGACAAAGAACAGTTAAAATAAGTTAAGTGCACTGTTAGTATCAGAACTCACCTTGACGCCGATCACTGTGACTAACAACCCAATGATCGAATATGAGTTTGAGTTGTGTGTATAACGTAGTGCACCTCGCTAGAAGCTGTCAACAGTAAAGTTAAACACAATCAACATAGAACTATGACGTTCTATTTGTTTTTTAAATTAGTAAATGTACAAGGAAACGACAGTAATTTGGAGCACACCCCTAGACATGAACAGGGCGAAAATCCTTGTTGACACAAGGGAAGATAATAAAGGTTATTTCCCTATTTCTGTCCACTGTAACCTTTTCCTTACCAAAGTAAAGGGGGGAAAATGATATTCAGTATGATTGCTAATCCGGCTGTGTTTGTGTCATTATAGCTCTGGTTTCTTTCCTGGCTTTCCTCTTGGTCTTGTGGTCTCTCAGCCTGGTGTGTTAGTGTGTCCTTGGTACATTAGTGGAATGGTAGCTCCCTCCCCCATCTTGCCACATGAACAGTATATTGATTGCCTGGATTTAGCAATACACATCTGTGCAGGCATTGATTTGAATTCTAAAACTCTGGTTTTCTTTCAAAATCACTTAACCCCCATTGATTACTTTCTAATCTTAGACTGTTTACATTAAATACTTATCGGAGCACAAGATAGGACAAAGGCTTTAACCAAACAGATCCTATTTTTTTTTCTCTTGTAGATGTTTCACATCTGTCACCTAAAATAATTTACACATTTTTTTAAACAAAAAATCTTGTTTGTATTGTTGTGTGAAATTCATCTCTAAATTATATTCTATTTATTAGATCTACTCCACCCTTTGATCCACTAAGCTTACATGTATTTAGGAAATAAAAGGGAAAAAACTAGTTTATTAAGTTTAACAAGATAATGAATGGCAACATTTGTATAAAATGAGATTAATAGCTTCTGCTATACAAAATTTTCAAAGACTGTAAAAACACTTGTTAACTGCATTTCCAGCACTGTTTTCAGAGTATGTTTTTTAAAATTATATCTCTTTGTATAATATTTAATAATTGATAAAATATTTTAAATAAAATAATATAGATAAATATATATATAGTCTATTTAAATACATATATAGAGAGGCTAGATATTATATGTAACATTAAAACATTCTTGAATTGTTTACTTACCTTTTAACTACCACACACTGATATTTTAAAATTCTAGCTTCCCTTGCTGCAATATTCCCTACCCCCTCCCAAACTTAACCCCAAACATTACTTTTAAAAAAAAATCCTACATTCATTGTTGCAATGTTATTGAATATTAAATGCACTCCAGTTTTTATTTTTCCATATGATTCCCCATGGTTTTCATTGTTTATTAATATTCTCCCATCAATTCTAATGACAGCTCTCACTGAGTTTTCGCAACCTGTCCTTGTTAAGCGTGAAGATCCCAACTCTAGAATCAACACAATCAAAGAAATCCAAAGGCGAGCTCAGTCAGGTGGCAAGTGGCCTCAGATTATCATCTTCCCAGAGGGTACCTGCACCAACCGGTCTTGTCTCATTTCTTTTAAACAAGGTTTGTTCTATATATTGCTTATGTTTTTAAGATTTGAGCAAATCTTAAGCTTATATATGGTTGTGTGTGTGTATATATATATATATATATATATATATATATATATATATATATATATATATATATATATATATATATATATATATATATATATATATATATATATATATATATATATATATATATATATATATATATACATATATATATAAGTTAAAATTAGTAGAATGGAATGTACCAAGACTTTTTTTTTACTGTTCATCATATTTCAATCAACTATTACATATTTTAAAACTTTAAACTTTTTTTCATAGGTGCCTTTTACCCCGGTGTTCCTGTACAGCCAGTTTGTGTAAAATATCCCAATAAACTGGTACGTATTGGTCATAACCAATGTCATTCATGAACAACTTTTGTTCCATGTGAATCATGGTATTCAGCAAAGTTTCCTCACTATTACACATGTGGGCATTATTAGTTTCCTCAGTAACAAAAGCAACAGCTGTGCTTTATTTATTGAGACTCTGTTTCCAAGCTTTTAGATGTACTTTACAGATAAACCATCACAGATTGTTTACTTGTTTGATAGCATTAGAAGAATAAGTCTTTTTTTTTTTATATTTAGTTCAATATTTTTATTAATTGTTTTTGAAAAAAAATGAATTTACAGATTTTTATCTGATAAAAAATTTATAGCCGCTTTAGAAAGATGTATTTTAATGTTTGATGGTTACTTTTTGATTCTGTACTAAAGTCGAATGTAATCATGCATTTGATTTCTTCAGTAGTGTGTTTATTGTTCCATTTCAGGACACTGTCACCTGGACATGGGAAGGACCTGGAGCGTAAGTGGTCTTAATTTAAATTGTAAAGCCAGCCCAGGGTGTTAGGGGATCAATAAACATTACCACACTGTCCCACATGAAACAATCTTGCTCGGTCATGATATTCCCTTAATGAGGAAACTTGAGCCTACATTGTTAGTTATTTCTTTCAAGAATTAGTATCTGATTTCTCCTGATTTTAATAAACCAGCAGCTATTGTCTTCTAATATGATATTTGCTTGTGTATTACTTTCTTCTGTTAATCTCCAAAACACTGTATTGACAGTCACAAAAGCTTTTAAAGTGTTATGGTTGTATTATTTTTGTTAAGAGGATCAGCTTTATTTAATGAGAGTGTATACTTTAGGTTTATTCCAGTGTAGTAAATATGTGACCCTTCGTTGTCATTATTGTGCCACAGGTGGTGGTAATGAATCAGTTAGATTAGCATAAGCTTTCATATAGTGAGTCACATGGCTGATTCAATGTTACAGAAAACATTAGTGATCTGCCTAGCTTGCTTCTCAACAGTTTTATTTAAAAACAATATTTCAATGAAGCTATTATAAAATATAAAATTTAAAAGGCATCTTTAGTTAATAAAATTTAACCTCTGAAATAGTATTTTAAAGCATCTCATTTACAGCTAATAACAAGCATCTATTTTTCAAATTAAATGTAATGTTGTTAAACTTAGCAGCTATTTATTTAGTTATGTGTCAATAGGATTACATAAGCATTAGATCTATATCAAGGCACACATTTTTTTTTCTTCAGCTTCCTTCAGCTTTGGTTGACTTTGTGCCAGTTTTACACTAGGATAGAAATAGAGGTGAGCCTGATGGGTCTTCAGTTTTCTTACTCTTTTAACTAGCAATCTGAACATCTTAGAGATGTCACTTTACTTACGTTCTAAAGAATTTCACCAAAAAAAAATTTGAGAATGTAATGTTAGAAAAAAAAATACATTAATAATTTTATTTACAGTAATATTTCCTAGAATTTTTATAAAATCTCCACCTGGAAATAGATTTGATTTGTTGTCAGAATCATGGTTTTGCATATGGATTCTGACATGGATGCGATTTGTTTTTTTTTTAAAAAGTGGTTATTTACATCTGTTACTATTTTCTTCAACAAACAGTTCTGATAGCCAAATGTGCCATCAGCTTTGGGTGCAATTTTTTTCTTAGCAAGGAATTTGATTTTATTTCTATTTATAATTTTTTTTTACCACACAGTTCTTGCCTGTGTACGTCCCCAGTGAGGAAGAAAAGAAAGATCCAAAACTATTTGCAAATAATGTTAGAGAAGTTATGGCCAGGTATTAAACTTCAAAATAATAAAAATTTTGTTTTAATTTAATGTTATCTAAGGTTTACATCTAACTTGATCTCTGTAAGAATCGTCTGATGAGTAATATCATTTATAAAGATTTGTTTTGTTTCATTTAGGGCTCTGATGTGTCCCATTACAGACCACACATATGATGACTGCAGGCTAATGACAGCAGCTGATAAACTAAAGCTTCCTCTCAGCTCGGGTTTGGTAGAGTTTGAAAAGCTGCATTCTAAGCTTGGGTGTGTGCCACACTTTTTTTTAATACTGGTTTCAATTGTGATGCATTTTTAATGTAGCCTGACGGGGCAGCTTTGTTGTTGCATTTACTTAAGGCTAAAACACAAGATTTTGAATGTTGATATGTGAGTTTTGGTGGAAGAAAACAGTAACCAGCTCCCACCATTTAAACATAGAGAAAAAAATTTAAACCAGCACTTAGGTGCACTTTAATAGAAGGAAACTGGTTGTTTGTCAAAGAAAGATTTTTTTTTCACATTTTGTTAATTCTTACATTTTGAACAACCATTTTTAGGGTAACAATCAAGGATCTTCAAGAGAATCTGCAAAAGTTTCGTGATATCAAAGTGAACAAAACAGAAAAGAAAAAAGCTGCTCAAATTACTTACGATGAGTTTAGTAACTATTTAATGCTGCCCAAATCTGAAGCACTCCATCAAGTATTTAACCTGTATGATAGAGTAAGTAGATAAAAAACAAACTAGTCTTAAAATTTAATGGTATCATATTTTTTTCAAAAGTTATAAGTACTTTCAGAGTGATTATATTAAAATATTTCAAACAAACATATAAATTGCTATTTTATTTTTTAAAAATCATTAAAAACCCTTTTGGTTTTACAAAGGTATTTAATATATTAAAATATTTTCAAGTTGAATTAGCTCTTAACTAAGCAATGATTGAAGATGGATCAACTCAGTGTTCAAGCCCATTTGCTGTGGTATAGTAACAATGCTGCCAGCTGTATCATAGCTTATAATCAGTTGTCTTGGTCATGATGTCACTAGAGATGTGATATAGGGTTGTGTTTACTTCCTGCGGGACGGAGTGGTCTAGCGGTAGAGAGCTGGACTACTAACCCGTAAGTCTCGAGTTCGAATCCGGGTTCAACTCAGCAGACCGTCCCTGAGTCCACCCAACTCTGATGGGTACCTAACTCATGTTAGGGAAAGTAAAGGCGGCTGGGCATAGTGCTGACCACACTATCTCTTCATATGCCGAGGTCACAGAAACAAGTGAACTCTACTTCACTTGCCCCATAGACCATCAGGTTTGAAAAAGAAACTTTACTTTTTTTTTTTACTTCCTGCACTTTTTTTGTATACTTTGTTTTGTGTAATTAAGAAAGGTTTTTGTAAAAGTACTTTGCAAATTCTATTTTATTTAAACGTATTGATCTCCTATATCAGTCACATCTAAACAGTTACATTGTACGTAAAATGATAAATCATAAAATATTTGTTCTAATACTAATCTTATCATGATTTATGTAAAAAAAAGATGTTCTCATTCATTTTCTTAACTGAAATGTTTCCACTTTGAAAATTTTTTGTTCTTGACTAAAGTTAATTACAATTCCTTTCTACAATAAATAAATTAATAGTATTATGTAGAGTTTTCAATTTCCATTAATTATATTTGAATTGTATATTTGAATAGACAGGATAAAAAAGTTTTTAAGGTTTGAGTACCAAAACAAGTCCATTTTAAACATGACATTACAGAGTAAAAAGTCATCCTATTGTATTTAATAACCTCAATTCTAAAACAATACATCCAGCTGTATACTTTTTAATGTTTAAACTTTAAAAAATTGTTTTGTTTACACAGGATGGTTCTGGCACAATTGACTTCAGAGAGTATGTTATAGGTTTGTCCCTTGTATCAGCCCCAGCCAACAGTGAAGAAACCATCCAACTCGCATTTCAGGTACCAGAACAATTTATGTAGGATAATTACATTTTCAGCTTGAAGAAACAAGATATGCTTTTGTGTACGAATTATTAATAACATTGTTATTTCATAGAAATTAAAATATAATTTTGTTTTTCATCAGCTGTTTGACACAGATAACAAAGGGCATATTACCGAGCAAGATTTGCAGCAAATTCTCCAACGAGCTTTCAACGTTCCTTATGCAGATGTAAAGAAGATTTTTGTTGAAGCAGATCTAAATCTTGATGGCAAAATAACACTTGGTAAGAATGGTTTTATGCTTATGTCAACATTGATAAAAACTAGTTACTAACTCATTGGGAAAATATGATAGTCTCAATGTTCAGTCATTTCCATTGTTTTAGCTTTTAGACCATGGTGGATACCACCTGACTAATTGGGGAGAGAATGGGTAGCTTGCTGTAGTAACCACATTTCTTATTCATAAGTTGGCCTAAATTATAGATTTTAGCAACTATTTTATGCTGTCCAAGTCTAAAACACTCTTCAAGTATTAAACTAGTCAGAAAATCTAAGAAAAGGTTCTTTTTGTTAAAGTTTGAGAGGGTTATTTTATCTACTCATTTATTGTGTTAAGTTAGCTTCCTCAACCAGTTATTTCATATTGAGAAACTATGACAGATCTTATAGGATACTTTTTTTCTTACAAATCATTAACATAGTCCAACAAATGCACTAATCTCACTTATGTAAAATGTATATCAACAGATGAATTTAAAAACTATGCACAAAAGAAACCTGAGTATGCCAAGGTGTTTATGACCTACCGTGAACTAATAGAAGATTCTCAGCAAACAGCCATTGAGAAAGATAAATTTAGCAATGGACATGCAGCAGATTTTAAGCAATGGAGTTTAAAGGTGGATGAATCATCTAAAAAAATGCAGTGAATGGTGTTTGTAAGAAATAAGACTGTATATTTATTTTTTACCTATTAGCTTTTAAAATTAGTTGCTTTGTAAATTAAAATTTTGGTTCTGTGTAGGCTTTTATTTGAGTAGTCAAGGTGTTTTATACAAACACAAATTTTTAATTTTAGTTTAAATTATAACAAAAACATCAGAAAATTTATCCTAATTGCTCTCAAACAGTTTGGCATTAACAGTTTGAAATTAAAATAGTTTATTAATCATACATTTAATTTTAAAATATTGGCAAATTGTGTGCAATATTTGTAATGCATTTTGTACAAAATAGTCTTGATTGGTGGTAATCTCGTGGTTTATTTAGAGGGTTTTTAAACATTACTACAGTATATTATCTCCCATGGATTAAGCAAAATTAATTATCCTTCAAAATATAATTTGCATTAGTACCTTTACTGTATTTATTTACCCTAAAAGCATTCAAACTTTGATGCTTTGTGTAAAACTGTTTATTAAACAATTACTTTCAAAATATATTTTGAAAATCCTATATTGTTCAGATATAAAGAGATGTTTAAATGAAATTTGACTGTTTATAGATAATGTATCTTACAAATCCATTATGTAGTTGTTTTTCATTTTGTAGGAGACAACCTGGAGTATGTTTAACCGCATAGCACCTTTTGCAAGTAGTACTAGTAATGACATTTTGTTTATCTTTATGTTGAATGCTGGTTATTTATATTTGAGTGAGATTAAGTTCCATCTTTTTTGGTTCTGAGATTTATATTTAATCAAAGATTATGTTTGTGTTCATTTTACTTTGTATTATTGTTCAAAGGTATTTAGAAACCATGAGCTGAGCCTACAATGTATGAAGACAAAAAAAAAATTCGAGTTGAATTGATGTGAAATTACATTTACACCATAACAATTTTGATAAAAATATAGGTATTAAGTAAGCTTGCTAAGCCATTTACACAATAACCCAGACTATGTTAAGGAATCATGCTAGTACCTATATTTCTAATTTTTGTTAAGTTACCAGTATAGGCCATCACAATCAATATTCACTGAACAGAAGTGATCACAGTACATTGTAAATACATTCATACTCTGTAAAACATTGTAAAGCTACACAATATAAGATAATAAAGCGTTTTGCTTATATATTGAAATTGCTACCAAAGGCGCTCATCATATCAATTTATTTTGGTAAAATTATTTGTACCTTGGAATTGTTATGTTAGCTGGTCTGAAATGAAGTGTATGTGAAATGTACACATACATTACATGATTATGTTGGACTGAACTGGTGTCTTGCACCAATGGGATACATTTAAATCCAATTTATTTTGATTTTATTAACTAGTTAACATTATTTTACAGTATTTTAGTTTTATAAAATTATTTATTAAATTCGGGACTGTTGTTAGTTTATAAAACTTCAATAGCTTTACTTTTAAAAATATATATTCAAGGTAATACAGAAATGTTTGTGTGATTGTTTTAGTAGCCACACTGTTTTAAAAGCATCACTATTTTTTATAGCCATGATTGTATAATGTAATGATTCTCTGAGATAATAATAGCCAATGCCCCAATACACTAGTGGAGTGGTGGTCTAGCTTTAAGTGCACGTCATGTCAAACTCTAAAAGCTCAAGTTTGTTTCCCTGCTGGAGCATGAGTCTGACACAATTAGGGTAAAGCAATGGCCAGGTTTTGACTTTTTTTGCAGTTATAGAATCCCATGAGCTCCTGCTTATCTGGCCCCTGATGCATAGGTCAAAAAGGGTATTGGAGTAAAATATTTTACTAAATAAAACTGGTCCTTGTAGTTCAAAACATTAAATAAACATTTTGACATAGCTTAAAATTTATAACAAATGGCTTTTTAAACTCATATAAATGTTTTAATGTTTCTTAATAACAGAATAAATTGTAGTGAGACTTATTATACCATGCTTCATTTCAGCGCATGTTAAAAGGACCAGTGCCTCTGTTTGATTTTATTACTATGCATGTCCCAGGTAACTTTGATCGGGCCTGTTGATAGATCAAGTGTGCATATTGGTGAAATTTGGATGCATGACGTAATTCTTAGTCTCTACTCCAACTGTCAAACCAATACATAAACTATAAATTGAAGTAATTTTTATAGATTTTACATTTTTTTATCTCATACTGAACTGATTGGACAAAGTTTTATCCTGCATCCATTTTTCAACCTGATAAATCCGGTGTTATATCCGTTTGGCTGATGCAGTCATAAGATAAATACTATTCCCACTGTGTTAAAAATCAGCTCCTTTTTATTTCTCCCATAAAATGGTATCCTGCTGTATTTACAATTTGTATTTATAACTGAAGAACATTGATAGTCAATTTCATGCATATTTCCCTTTTTATTGTTAGTTATGGTTTTTATATGTGGGGTTTAAATTAAATTAATTGGTTAATTTACTTTTCTTTTGTAATGAAATAATTTTCTGGTGGTGATCTGCCCTTGAACTGTATAACGTCATCCAGTACATTTGGCAGTGTTGAGACTGGTGATATTTGTACATGTCTTTTTTTATTTACCTCCCGTAAAGATTTATACATTTATATCAGTCCATAGTAAATATCAATTCATCATTATTACATTATCACTTGATTATTTTGAATAAATATCACAATTTTCTACAATTATTAATTTGGTATAATTCAACCTAAGATTACATTGTAAAACTTAATAAACCAGCCAAATTTGTGTCACATCTACTATGTGCTTGTGTTAGTGTTTAATTTTCCAGCATCACTATGTGATGGTTCATATCTACTTTTATTTTGGTTACATTACACACACTTGTTAGTAAGTGGCGATTCCCTATACAACAGTGTTATGGAACTTGTGTACAAAATTGAATGTTGAAATTATCAGTTTTATGCCTGGACAATAACAACTCTTGTTGTAGGAAAGTTTATAAAAAATTCTATTTGTGTGTTGCTCAAGAAAGTTTCACTAACTGTTGAATGTGCCCTGTTTACATGAAAAGATTACTTGTATTTTCTGTGCAGATTCTTTTAAGCTTAACACACAATTAATGAAGTCACATATTTCTATTATATATTTTTCTATTAGTGTATCAGTTTTGTTTAAAGTAATGCTAGTTAAGGTTTATATCTGATTGGTTTTGAATGGTTTAATAGTTTACAATGTAAGCATTGACTTTTAATTGGGTAAAAATGATAATGCACTTAATTTTATTGGAAACAACACTTTTATAACTGTTGGATATGATTATTTATTTATTCACTTTTTACAGCCGGGCTGCATAATTTACACATGTGAATGAAATCTGCATAATTAGCTGATTTATTAAAAAGACCTGCAATTCACATGATTATATGCAGTCAATAACACTGTAGTACAGTTATTGTCAATTATAAGTGGGTGTAGAGAACTTGTGAAATCACATTTGAAAAGTAAGTAAACAAAATTACTTGAATCAAATCTTAAAGATTTATGTTGGTGTAATGCTTTGACGCCTCTTAAAAAATTTAATTTTTTTAAAATGTATTTTTCTAAAGGTTCTTTATCTATTAATTCAGTCTATGTTTTGAAACCATGTTAAATATAATAAGCTAGCATGAGTTTATTAATTAATATAGCCAGCATCAACAAGGAACATAATTGTTTTGCTACTTGTAACAAAGTTTTCAATGTTGAAGTTATTGTTACAGCTTTTAATGCCAGCATTCTTTGTTTAATTTTTACTCATGTGATTGAGCATGTTGTGAGTGAGCCACAGAAGACTGAGTCCTAAGACCTGCCTGGTCTTAGATCAAATTTAATGACGTCTTACTTGTAGCTCCTCATAGCCTGCTCATTTTTGTTTACCAACCTGCTTCTGTTTTAACATTATGGCGCTTGAATATACAATTATAAAATATAGTTATTATAAAACCTATATCTGTACAATCATAAGCTTAGTGCAAAGAAAAAACAACAACCCAGCACTGAGATGATTCTTATCAAGCTGGATTTATAGAATCTGTGCATATATCTTATCTTGTATCACATTAGACCCATCAGCTCACATTGGGCAGATTTACATCCTGAAATTGTGTTTAGATATTTCACTAGAGACAAAAAAGATAACCTGGGTGGAAATGTTTTCTATACCTATACCTGTTGATTCTGTTGTTACATTTTACTGTATCCAGTTGTTGATAAGAATTAATATACAATGATTTGCTGTGGATCATTTGCCAATGGATGTTAAAATATCTATTTTTATTCAAAGCTTTATCCAAGCTTACCCTCCTTAGTTACTGCAGAGTACAATATTTTCTGATATATATGATTTTAACCAGGCAGATTGTTCAGTTGTGGTCAGATAGCATCATTTTTACCAACAGTAATATTTGTGTCCATATGGAAAGGTCAGATAGCATCATTTTTACCAACAGTAATATTTGTGTCCATATGGAAAGGTCAGATAGCATCATGTTTACCAACAGTTAAATTTTGTGTATTACAGAAAAAATTCAAGTTTACCTTTATAAAAACATGATTTAAATGTCAAGTGTAAAAATTTGAAAATGCAAATATATTGTGATAATTGGTTTGCACTGTGGTGTAAAGTTACGAATAAATAAGGCTTGACCTTAATGTTTAATCACAGTTGTAAAATAAGCCAACAACTGGCAGTATTCAGAAAAAAGCAGGTAAAATAAAGGCTGATTTTGTATCTTAGCTGCATTACATTAACCATTTCTACACTTTATACAGATGAGCTGTCTGTGTTTATGTTCAGTAGTATAGTGCCGTTTTTATTAAGATTCCCTCCAATTCATTCACATTGTCAGTTCATTAAATCAGTTCCATGCATCATAGTTTAGTGTTTTTTTTATTTAAAAAGCTGTAAAAATATACATTTTAATATCTTTTTTTCTCTTCATAAATATAAGCTGATTTCTATTAAATGGTTTTATTAGAATAATTTTCTTCTAAGTTCTTCCAAAAGTGGCCTTTCTGCCAACATGAGTTAGATTCCATCTGCTTGCTGATCACCTTATTGTTTATCTCTGCCATGGTCGCTGTAAAAAAAAAATAGCTTCCTATGTTTACATTAGCTAGAATGTTGGTAGCTTTTTTTACATTTGGAAAAATTGGTGCTTAATAGCTGAAGCCTTAAATATTGCCAAAAAATAATAGTTTTATTACTAATATTACAAAAACCTCACACTAATTTAACAAAAAAAATAATTCTTCTATGAATACTTTAGTTTAAATGTATTGCATTTAACTAATAAAGAAAAATATAATTTTAATAGCAATAAAATTGTCTTTTAAACTGTGATGTATATTATTGGCTGTTCCTGTTTTTAAATAACTGTTCTCTAGTTACAAGCTGGCATCATATAGCTCTATTACTGAATATGTTTACAGCATGTTTTTTTTTAATTCATCATCTTTTTCCTTTAAAGCTTCCATTACTGTGTGCTCATTAAAAGTGTTGTAATAGTCTTCGAAAATTGTTAATACACTTTTTTGTAGTTTTGTTTATTAATTTAGCAAACATGTTGACCCAAACCTTCTCGTAGTCAAAACATTAAAACGGTGCCCTGTCAAAACGGCCCGGGACAAATCGGCCCCGTCAAAACGGCCCCGTTAATACGACCCCGTCAACTCGACTCCCGACAAACCGACCCCGTCAAAATAGCCCCGTCAAAAGGGCCCCGACATATTGGCTCCCGTCAAATGGGCTCCCGTCATATTGACTTGCGACATATAGGCTCCCGACAAATGGGCTCCCGATATTTAGGCTCCCGACAAATGGACTCCCGACATATTAACCCCTGACAAATAGGCTCGGGACATATTGGCTCCCGACAAAGCGGCTCCCGACATATTGGCTCCCGACATAAGGGCTCAAGACAAATGGGCTCCCGGCAAATGGGCTCACGACATTTTGGCTACCGACAAATGGGCTCCCGACATATTGGCTCCCGGCAATTGGGCTCCCGACATATTGGCTTTTGACAAAATGACTCCCGACATATTGGCTCCAGAAAAATGAATGATATGACCACTATTGGCATAAAAGTAACCATTGTGTCCTACCTCCAATACCACCATAACCTCTTTTTAATGCCCGAATGAAATTATTTTTTCATGAACCAACATTAATTCACAAACAAATAGAGCCCTTAACAGCTAAATTCCACCAATTCTAAAGTTTTGATAATGTTTAATTTACAACAGAAAAGATCTGTTGCTTAAAAGCGTGCACAGAAGTGTAAATGTATGATATACATGATGTTAACATGATAACAGCATTTTGTTTTGATAACCTACAAGCACAGTGGCGTAGCGAGGTCGGGTGTCACCCGGTGCGGCACTTAATGGTGTCACCTCTCCCCCAGAGGCGTTGCGACCCTTCCCGGGGACAATCTTTCAAGTTTTCGATTTGCACCCCCCCCCCCCCCCCAAACTTTCGATTTGCACCCCCACCCCCTCAACTTTTTCTCTATATATTTTGCTATTTTTGCCTTTGTGTCACCCTCCTAAATGGTGTCAACCGGTGCGGTCTGCACCCCCGCCCCCCCCCCCCCCCCCTCGCTACGCCCCTGTACAAGCATATTGCAGTTAGGAAGGTACAGCGTGGACCCTTCTCCCCACACAATGAGTTGGAACAGCCTATAACCGACTCAATTATGGATGTCATAGATAGATGACCCTTAAATTAAAACGGGAACAGGGCATTTCCCCCCTGTCAATTACCCCCCGGATATTTCCCCCCGACATTACCCCCCAGAGTAATTACCCCCTGTCAATTACCCCCCTGTCAATTACCCCCCGCCCAGTAGGACATTACCCCCCCCCCCCCGGACAGGGTTAGGGTTAGGGTTAGGGCTGGGTTTAGGGTTAGGTTTATGGCTAGGGTTAGGGTTAGGGTTAGGGTTAGGGTTAGGTTTAGGTTTAGGTTTAGGTTTAGGTTTAGGTTTAGGTTTAGGTCTAGGTTTAGGTTTAGGTTTTGGTTTTGGTTTAGGTTTAGGTTTAGGTTTAGGTTTAGGTTTAGGGCTAGGGATAGGGATAGGGCTAGGGTTAGGGTAAGGAATAGGGTTAGGGTTAGGGTTGTGTCTAGCTTTGATTTTGGTTTTGTGTGAAGTTTTAGGTTTTGGTCTTTTTCTTAAGGTTTGGATTAAAGTAGTATATAGGTATAAAATTCTAGATAGAGTTAGGGTTTTAACTTGAGAGGGGGGGGGGGAGTAATTCCCCGGGGGGGGGGGGGGGGTAATTGACAGGGGGTAATTGACAGGGGGGTTATTCCTCCGGGGGTAAATACGGGGGGGGGGGGGAAATATCCAGGGGGGTAATGTCCTGTAGCCAATTAAAACATACTATATTTTATAATAGATAAACTAATATAAAAATAAATCCTGCCGAACAAGAGATGCATACGTTGTATTCAGTGGCGGAACTAGAAAAAATGGGCCGACCCGCAAAAATATTTTTATCTATATATCTATATCTACATCTACATCTACATCTACATCTACATCTACATCTACATCTACATCGACATCGACATCGACATCGACATCGACATCTCTCTCTCTCTCTATCTCTCTCTCTCTCTCTCTCTTTATCTTTATCTTTATCTATATCTATATCTATATCTATATCTATATCTATATCTATATCTATATCTATATCTATATCTATATCTATATCTATATCTATATCTATATCTATATCTATATCTATATCTATATCTATATCTATATCTATATCTGGCAGGTGTCATATTCAATGAGACCGCTTCACCGGGAGACTTAGTCTCTACAGAAACGGTATTATCAGAGGTCCTTTTGTCTGGAGCCAAATTGACAGGGGCCTTTTTGTCGTGAGCCAAAATGGCGCTAGCCTATTTGTCGGGAGTCGTAATGACGGGGGCCGTTTTGTGGAGAAACTAAATGGCGGGAGCCCATTTGTCGGGAGTCGTAATGACGGGGGCCGTTTTGTGGAAAAAACTAAATGACGGGAGCCTTTATGTCGGGAGCCAAAATGACGGGAGCCTATTTGTCGTGAGCCTTATTGACTGGAGCCCTTTTGTCGGGAGCCTATATAACGGGAGCCTATTTGTCGGTAGCCTAAATGACGGGAGTCTATTTGTCGGGAGCCTATATGACGGGGTCCATATGTCGCTGGCCCTTTTGACGGGGCCGATTTGACGGGGTCGTTTTGACGGGGCCGTTTTTTCGGGGTCGTTTTGACGGGGCCGTTTCGTCATTGGCCGAATTGACGCCGCACGCATTAAAACACATCAGGTCGTTTTATTATTTTGATAATAAATCATTAAACTGTCTTCTTGTTCAATATTTCATACTAAATAGTTATTGTGGTAAAAATTTTTAGAAGTATTTAGTTAAAATGGAATTATTTTATTTTGCTTCATTAAGACAGCATCACAATGTACTAAGTTAATTAAACTGCCAATTACTATGATTTCTTATCTTTTAAATAAAAATTTGTCATACATGTAACATCTCTGTTACTCTCTTTATGTTGTGTTTGCTACAGTAATCACTGTGTTACTGGTGTTTGACTTCTGTACCTGTACAAGGTTTTTCTCGCTTGTAATTGAAGTTGGTAATTATGACATAGCTGAGAATAAGATATTTACATGATATTGATATTAAAAGTTAAATGGTTTTTAGTAATAGTTTGTATGCTATGCAAAGGAAGTGAATGATACTTTAATACTAGGGATAGTGGCATTTTTTTTGAGTTGCTTAGATTTTTTAAAATAACACTTAATAGAGAGATATAAAATTAGAGGATTAAAATTATTTTATGTTGTGATACAGATAATCCTATCAACAAGAAAAGATTCAATGCTTTTACTATGAGTTTATCATTTTAATGTCACATTAGAGTAATTATATTTGAAGCAAACAACAAAACTATGGGAGGGAGAAAAAAAATTGAAACAAAACTCATTTAAAAAAAAATTCTTTAATGTCATTCTGTCAGTGCTGTGACATTCTCTCTGATCTAAATTTTGATACCCTCTTGGGTGGGTCATCCTTAGGAATTAGATTAGGTGTGTCTGACTTGGATACATCTGATTTTTCAACTACCATGCCCGTAAATGCCTGAGGAAGATAACACAATTACTTGTATTAACATTAGAGAAGATGAGAATTTAATGACAATTAAGAGTGAAGCAATGAGAACTGATCCATTTAAGTTAAGTACAAGAAGATCTGTTTGTCCAAGCATGTCTGCTTGTTTATTGAAAGAGTTGATAGCTTTCAGCACATGCCTTTTAAAGTTATAAGGGTAGAAGTAATTCTTCTTCTTCTTCCTCGTTCTTAATTATTAGTGTTGAAGGGGATCGAGATTTATCTGCCAGTGTTTGAACTCGAGACTGTTCGAATTTATCAACCATGACCTTTTTGTCGACTCGACCACGCCTCCAACACAATTAAGCGTTACGTGTCAACTGGTTATGCGCCATAGAGGCCATTGACTCCGATTTCAGCCTGCTTTTCTTTTTGGATTTGCTTCCATAGCCTTTGTCCAACCAAGAACAAACTACAAGGCAGCAGTTGTTTGATTTTGGAGTTGTCTCTCCTAGAAGAGTGGCTGTCCCCAGCTAACGAGCCTCATCTGCCCGAGGGTTCGAACTTGAGACTTTGCGATATAGCAACCATGAGCTTTACCGACTCGACCACGACTTTATGTAATTACCTGAACTTTTTTCAATAACATTTGAAAAAAAAAAATACATCTAGGAATTGTAAAAATAGAATAGTTTTCAAAGCTTTTAAAAAATAAGTGCAACAAATATTCTTTCCTAGGGGTTATTCTAAAGTCAACAATTTTAATAAATGACTAGCATTCATAATCCCTTAGGCCAAATAAAAATCATTTTATATATTACTGCTCTCATTAACTGCTTGGCCAGGTTGTACAATGCATGACTGCTAACCCAAAAGTCTGGGTTAGGATTCAAGACTGAAGTTTGTAGAACATCATTGAAACTGCCCAGCAGATCAGACTATGTTAGGGAAAGTAAAGGCAGATGGGCACAGTATTGACCAGACTATTCACTAATTTGAATTAAATCCAAGAAATGAGTGGACCCTGCCCTATTAAACACAAAAGTATCTTTACCGTTTTTTAATTGATGTCTGTCTGCTTTAAGATTGGTAAACATTCTCTCCTGGCTGATCAAGTGATCACTACAACTTAGTTATCCCCCCTATTATTTTCAAATATAGTTTTCTTTGAATCAATTTTAATTAGACTAAAAATGAGATATTATTTTGTTATTACCGGAAATGCAGTTTTCCATGAACTTTGAAGAAAAAAGCTCCAATGAAAAATGGGTCAAAACGGAATTATAAGATTTGACCACAAACAAAGGAGCCTAAGCAAAAGCAATGTAAAATAGGTTGATGAATTATTTTTTAAAGATGTTTTCTTACCAAGGAAGCTTTAGATTGTGTCTTTTCATATGAAAAAGAGTCTGTGGAGCTAGACCTGTGTTCAGAACAATTACTGTCTTTTTCTGTAAACAAACAATACTCTGTTCTGTCCTCTTCAAGGGAAGCAACCATTTTATCCATATTTTGGCTTATATTTTCATTGGTTTCTTCACAAATCACTTTTTTTAATATTGGCTTGGGGCAGTAAAGTTTATAAATGTCAGCAGGACTTTGAATACTTGTGTCCCCTTCTGTCATCACTTGATGAGGCTGATGGATTATATTATTATGAATTTTATTGTACAGCGGCAACAATTTTTTCGGTAAGCAATGTATTCAGACTTAGGTAGGTGTAATATTTGACTGTTCAAATCAGCCAATAATTTAAAGTAACCGAAAGTTTATTTAATAAAATATCCACTGTTACTGACCAGTATGGCTGGTGTTGGTGTATGATGAAAAGTTATTATTCTTTTAACTTCTTGGCCGGCTACCTCTTCTTCATCTTCATTGGACAAGTTATCATCTTCAGATTCCTCTTCCTGGCTACTTGTATGTGTCTGTGTGTCCTCCCATTGAACAGCTTTATTTGATGGCTTTTTTTCTAATGTTACTTTTGTATCTACCACTCTAGAATCTGCTTCCTCATCTTCAGATTCTGAACTGCTGAAAACAAATCAAATTTGCGCATCTCAAAATGTTGTTTCTTTTTTAAATTCTGTGCATGACTGCAAGAGATGTATGATGTGATGTTTCTACTTTCCATCACATTTTGTGAACTTATATGAGGGAAAAGAGAGAAAGTGAGGCATGGCTTTAACTTAGTTAAGATGTTGAAAAAATAACAATTCAATATTTCTTAGAATACAGGAAAAAAATAATTGTATATCTTAAAAAAGCAAAAAAAACAAAACACAACTATTAAAATTAATTAGTTATCTCAAATGTTGATATTTAAGAACTTAAGATTTTAGATACATCATTGGACTTGTTTTAAAGCTGCTTACCTTTTTAGCTCACCCTTTTCAGCTTCTAATCTCTCTAGCTCATCAAGCCTTGACCAGAGATCTGTGTTGACTGCATTCATTTCACTCCTAGCAGGTTCATTTGTCTTGTGTTTTAACTCTTCTTTATACCTGCGCACATTTTTCTTATGCTGTTCTGAAATTAAAATAATCGTTATTTTAAGAGATATTTTTAACTAAGAAAAGAAATAAAGTTCAAAACTGTATGTGGGAAAAAAAGTATACAAAATGTATTTATTACCATCCCACAATTTCTCCTTTTCTTCATCAAACTCTTCAACTATTTCATTTACATCCCCTTGACCCTGTTTATAAAATAAGGTAAAGTAAATACTCAAATATATGGGTTATAACATCAACCATCAACATCATGAAAAATCTGTAGTACTTGCCATCAGTTCTGCTTGCAGTTGTGAAGTAAAGTCTATGCGTGGTTCAAGTAGTTTTCTCTGGCTTTTCAAACCATTTACAGTTTTATTAAGCTCTGAAAGAGTGGTACAAATATTCTTTCCTCTTTAAAAGATTGCTCAAAGTATATAAAGTATACAAATACAGAGCAAACATCAAACATTAAAAAATTAGAGCAGTTTTTGTTTGCTTAGAAAAGTAGTAACAGAGCAATTTAACATATTTTAGATAATTATTTCATTCTATCTAGATAATACAGACTCTGACAGTTTTTATTCCCTTTTTGGTCTGATGATCAATTGAATAGATGAGGTTAAGTACACCAATTGTTTGTGACCACAGTATGTGTAAGAATACCATACATTGAACACTCTTTACTGCTTCCTTAACTTCTCATTGCAAAACCCTATTGTTGTATACCATTTCAAATTATGTTGTACGCTGACCTTTGATCCTCCTTTCAGCTATCTCAGCTGCCTGTTTGGCAGATCTTTCAACAAACCAATTATCCCCAAGCAGAACAAGAATCTCATTAGTATGGACTATCTGACCAGGCATAAATGCTAATTTCCCAAAAGGCACCTGAATGTCAAAAAACAATATATTTTAGTGATAAGAATTTAATATAACTCAATACTGATATATAGCAGTGTAAATTCAATTTTGAACTTTGGCATCAAGAATGAAGAATATAAAACTAACACTAAAATGATTGTTTAATTATTCTGGTGTTGTCTACAATTTATTTTCTAAAATCTCTTGTGGCATTTATATCTATTTATAATAAGACCATCTCTGAAACAGGCTTATACAATAACATTACCATAACATCATGTGTGATTTTATCTGGAAGAGTTTTTAATCTATCTTGCAGAGCTTTATAATCTGTTTTGAACTTTTCCCTGTGAGAAATAAATAAAAACTGTTTTAGACCTGCTTAAAGCTTCCATTGTTGTGCTAGAAGACTAAATGTAATTTGTTTGTTCTATATTATACACAAAAAAAAATATGGTAGGCCTATATGATAAGTCCAAGCCCTAAACTAAACATGATTTTAAGGAGAATTATATTTGTATTTTTTTTTTTAAATCGTATACCTTTAGAAACTAGTAAAGTGCTATTTATATGCTACACTAAATTGAACTTAATAGCTTTCTTGTTAAACTTCTAGCACAGAAACTAAACGGTGACTTTAAATACAAAACGAGGCATTGATAAAAACAATATAGATCTATATTTATGGGAAAATTTTTAATTTACATCTGTTCAATCTTAGTATCTGTCTCCTGAATAGCTTTCTGTTGCTCTTCTTTCAACCTTGCTAAATGCTTTGGATCCATTATTAAGTTCTGAAATATCCAAACATATTACATTTAAAAGGTACTCATTACTTATTAATTATTAATATAGTTAGTAATAGTAATATAGTTAGAGTGGTCTATACTTATTTACTTAAGCCTGCAAGGTGCCAAGATAATTAATTATAATTATATTATTATATTTATTTAAAAAATTATTATATTATGTCTGATGTCAATATGTCTGATCATTATGATAATGATCAGGCCTATATGATTATATATTTATATGTGAACACAACATTGACAAGACTTGTCAATGTTCATATCATATGATATTATATGATGTGTAGGCCTATATTTTAAATAGTAGGCCAATTATATTACAGTAATAAATATTAATTATAGGCCTAACTTAATAATAAAATTAATAGGAAATAATAGGGGTAGGGCCTAGATCTATAAATAATTTTAAATATTTGAAAATCATAAACAACCAAACATAAACAAACATACATACTTTTACTTTAACATACAACTTTCACTTTGTCAAACAACAAGACTTTGATTTTGACCACAAACCCATCCACAGATAATAACTTATAAGAATTATAAGATTGTTACTTTACTGTAACCTAAATTAAAAATTAGTTAACATTAGGCCTAGTTAAAATTACTAAATTACTTAGATATATAGATCTAGATCTAGTCAATCTAGAGGCTAGATTCTAGTAAGCAGAGTAAAAAGTGACAGATTTAAGTAAATTTTGAATCAAATAATTTCCTCGGTGATGCTAAGTTTTTATTTATTATATTTAGGCCCCCTAACCTTCAAATTGAATCGCAATTTTAAGAATAATAATATTAATTTGATAATTTTTGATATGTTAGTTAGCCAAAATATTTTATTGGGCCTAAAAATTTTATTTTTTAAATTTGGGTTTTAAAAGCTTCATATGCTTTATATTGGAAATAAAGCTAGATCTAGATTTTCTTTTAATATCTCACTTCGAGCTTATGAGTTAAAAAGTCCATTACAATATCGAAAGTGAAACAATAACGGAAGTTTATTTCACGGTCAACATGGCTTCCAAGTCGCTATTTAATTCAATGCTGCGACCTTCTACTATTTCTTTGCTTTGTAGTACAAGTAACACCCTTTCCCTTCTTCCTCAAAGGTAATATATAAATTTCACATGAAGAAAATTACAATTCATTTATTTTTAAGTAAAGTGTCCAGTTTTACACATGATTATTTCAAATTGATTGACGGCCATGAGAGTCCGCTGAGAGTTGAGTAGCAGCTAGACTCTAGAATCTAGATCTAGATCTAGTAGCTAGCTAGTTGATTGAGAGTGGTTGTGCTGAGAGTGAAATCTATTATCTAGATCTATAGAATTCTAGATCTAGGAAAGAAAGATGGACAGAAGTGGAAAAAGAGTAAATCTAGAATAGATTCTTGAAAGAGTTATTGTTATTGATTATAGACTATAGACTAATTTTTATAGACCTAACTAGTTAGTTAAATTTAGTTTCCTGACAACAATTTTAAATCAAAATAAATTTGATAATCGTATTCAAATGCAAAACAGCAAAACACACATATTAGGCGTCATGGTAATCTATCGTATTAGGTACGTAAAATTGCCCGCGACTAGTAATGTGAAAAACAGGTGACTCCTTAAATTTTAATAATTATTTAACATTTTGAGGAGGATTTATGTTTTGAAAAATACAAAAATGTTCCCTTGTTTCATTTTAGTACCTGTTTTTTAAACGATTGAATTAAAAATTTTCAGTAATAAATGAAGAATAGCGATGTTTCCAACAGATGCAACCATGCTCATTTTCTATAGCAGCCATCTTGTGGGTTTTTTTTACTGTAAACTTATAGCGCAAGCTTCAGGGGAAGCCACTCTAACTTTCAGTTGGCCGCTTTTTTAAATTTATATAGCAAATCCTGCTCGCAAACACTGCTGTTTAAAGTTAATTTCTTGCCTATATTGATATATTTAGCCATTGATTTATGTTTATTATTCATTTATCTATAATATTTGACACAAATATATCACAATATATTTTTATTAAAGCCTTGACGATGAGGTAACTTTTTTGTACATTACTAGCCGCGGGTGATTTTACGTACCTTAAACGATAGATTACCGGCGTCACATATTATACACAAATAATCAATTTATAAAAATTAGGCTAATTTAATAGATTTTCTCACTAAATCTAAAATGTACGCAATTTTCAATTTAAACATTGCCACTGAATAAAAGACATCCATATTTAATCCATTAGGCACCAATTTTGAAGTTTTTAGCTCATTTTTAACTAAATTAGGCCTACTTAATTTAATATTTATTGTCACTCACTGCCATGACACGACACACCTCTCCATGACAACTCAACTTACGTCTGAAGCCATGGCAAACCACGAATCGGTTTGACTTTTTAATTGGGTATGCACCAGAGTTCCTCACTAGTAATGAGCCAAATAGGGGTCACATGGTTTTTAAAAGATAAAAATAAATTTGTTGTGATATGGACGCCTGTCTAATAAAAATCAGCTCACAATATTTAATTTCTTTTTTCATAGACTGATAAAACTAAAATGCTCTACGTTTTCGCTCATTTTTGTACCTACACCGTTGATATTTTAAAATTTCTATTAATTTTAATGAAACCAACTTTTGAATTTAGCCACCATTCTCCAAACCAAATTTTAAAATGCTTTTCTGGCATATCTAGCCTTGCCACCTATGGTTTGTTTTTATAACGCAAAAACCCTGCCATTTTGCTCGTGGTAAACATTTTAAACGGTAATTCTAAGAAGGTCACTGGAACTAAGATGAAAAATCGTCGGAAGTCATGCATCCGGTCTGTATGCCATATTGTTGTTAGCAACCAGCCACGCCTCAGGGTTAGCATGTAATACTACTAATTAATACTAATTATAAGGTCTCTGGGCACTATACATATAATAGTTGTATAATTATATAAAGTTAATATATATTATATTAAGGCCCAATCTGATTCAGGGCCTGACATAGATAATAGATAATGATAAAATACCAACTCATTTCATGACGGTAAAAAATTATGAAGAAGTACAAATCACACATGCCAGTCAAACAAAGACAGTTGCCTGCTTTATGCTTGTTATGGTTTTCTGTTTTTATTTTATTCCACATTTTTTTGTGCATTTATATTATTTATTATGAATCAAATAATTATAAAATCTATTTACTATTTAATTGTTTAGTCTGCATTATTTAATAATAGTTAAAAAAAAAAATTGATTTTATATTTTCTGTGATTAGTATAGAAGTATAGAATCTTTGTGGTACAAAATGAAAATCATTAATATGTCATCATTAATCTAAAAATAAAATGTCACCATTATTATTTGGTGGGGGGAGGGGGAGAGGTGATTTTAGAAATGGGAATCTATATTTTAAAATAAACAATATGTTAGTTTTATGTTAGCTGTACATTTTAGCAGTAGTACCCTGAGAAATCATTCGGATGGGGTTTGGGTACCATCAAATTTTAGCCAGTGGTTCAATTTTAAAAAGAAATAGAAGTGTTTTGTTTTTTACTAGAATCACACACAACTGGCATAGAAAGGCAGATAATTCATTTACTTCTGGCATTCACATTATAGCAAGATTTTTCTGGATGAAAAGTGTTTTAATTAATTACAGAGAAAGCCTTAACAGAAAATTAAGTAAAGACGAGAACTAGAGCTTGAACTTTTGGGGTTAGAGGTTGATGATCATATAGTACTGAATACAAGGTTTTGTTCTAGTTCTAGCTATATAATATTCATGAAGTTTTTACTATATGTAGAGTTACTTCCCCTACCTCCCATCCCAACTCCTTATATAACATTTAAGAACTTGTATGATGATTATTGATTGGTCTTCTGTTTTTGTTTGAGACTTATTCTGTAATTTATCACAACCAGTTTTGCCTGTGTGCAGCAAGTACGACACCGAAGATTTCCTAAGTTTGTTGTCCGCCCTACAACACGTAAGCCATGGCATGTGAGGAAATGGACCCAAAAAAAAGATGCTCGTTTAATTACTAGCAATGAACAATTTATTCAAGATGTTATCACACAAACATATGTCAATGCAGAGAGCCCATTGAAAGACGGCCCTTGGAACAGAAATGCTTATACAAAAGGGTATGTTCAGGATTATACATGCGTTAATTTTAAATATGTTAGCTTTAAAGACATGGTTGAAGGAACAATAAATATTTTTAAAATATACTATTCTGAAAATGTCATACATTAAAATATATTTGTTATTGTTCTAGCACTAGAAGAACTGGAGTTCTTGCCCTTAAACTTGGCCACATTCTCCAATGGACAAAAGAGGGCAAGAGTTTTTATGTTACATTACTACAGGTTTGATTCTACTTCATTTGAAACTGCCAGCAGTTTTTGTTTTATTTGGAAAATGATTCTGTGAAGTTAACGCTAATTTCAATAGTTCTACATAATTTAAACATGCTGGTTGTTTTTGTTTTTATCTTGAGAATAATTATCTAAAAATTAAGCGGTCAAATTTATAAAAAAGTTATTATAATTTATGGTTTAAAGTTTTTTTTAATTTATATCATGGGGTTTAGCACTAAGCAAATGATGATTATTAAATTTAAACTAAAATATCACAACTACTCAAGGTAATGTTAGCAGTCCATCAAAGGAATGGATTTGAGATTTTGTACTGTGTGCAATAAGACTAGAAATGTATTAGTGCTTACTAATGTTTATCTATATCTCCCCTATAGGTTTTAGACAACCATGTGATCAACTATGTTCCCCCTGAGCTTTATTCATCCTACCCAAGTCACCAGCCACACCATGCTCAAAGATTTGGTCTACAGGTTGTTGGTGCCCTTAGTACTGACCCTCGACAGGTCACTATCTACTCTATATCACTTTTTAAATTTAGTTCCAATGGGCCAGCTGACAAACCCATCCCCAAGTTCCCTCAAAACTCAATTAAGGAACCATATTTCTAGAGCAGGGGTCTCCAAACTATGGCCCGCAGGCCGAATGCGGCCCGCAAAGTCATCTCATCCGGCCCGCTGAGATCTTTTTGTCCAAGAAAAATCGTTTGTTGGTGATGGCTGGGGGAACTTTGCCCAGAAAAATCAAAGACATGTCTTGAAGAAACTGGCCCCCGAACTGAAATTTGATAGTTAATGCGGCCCTCGGACTGAAAAGTTTGGAGACCCCTGATCTAGAGGCTTGTTCAAGGTTGAATGCTCAGCAATCTGCAGCTTTGACTTTTTTTGCTGTAGTTTTATATTTCAAGTAATTATTCCCATTACTTAACAAGATGAAGTATAAACCTTGTTTATAACCTTTGTAATGTCTGTCTGCAGTTTTCAAAGCCCTATAACAACCTATTTGTAAAAGCTGGAGTTCCACCCAAGCGATGGCTGACCAGATTTTTAATCACCCCAGAAGCTGCAGTGCAACCTGGTAAGTGTTTGTGTTTTACTTTGTTTCTGAATTATTAAATTTCCAGCACAGAGTCAACATAAAAAATCCACCCAGTGGGTGGATTATTTTGTCAATTGCATTTTAACTCAGTTTTTAAAAATGTTTGTGTTTTCTGCCATTATAAAGTTTATTGCAAAAAGTATAAGTATAAACCTATGGACTGTTGTATATTTATACACAGAAAAAATAATCTGTTTCTAAGTTATTTCAGTAAGTTTTGTCACATTTCTCACATCTAATAAGATATTAAAATTTAACCCCACATTCTCCATCGCTATTGTTTAAATTGCAATATGAAAATGAAGGTTGGTAATTAATTAGAGGAACTAGCTGCAATTACTTAGAGAAGTGGTGGTTCTTTTATTTTTTACAGTGCTTTCCGTGTTCTAAGCTCTACCACTTTTTTATATTTTATAGGGGTTGTGTCCCTTTTGTTTTTCAGATGCAAAATAAATTAACACTAAAATGATGACTTATTTTATTTCCACAGGTACACCTCTGTTTGCCAATCACTTTAGAGTTGGAGATTATGTAGATGTACAGTCTAGAACGTAAGTTTTGTAGACCATCAGTGCTGTTTTAAGTTTCATTATGTCCGATTAACCAACCTTGTAGAAAGTTGGAGGGAGGGGGATCTCCACTACATACATTTTATGGAGAATGAAATAGTCACAATACACAAAACCCATCAAAATTATAATTATACATTGCTGTATGTGTCTGATATTATTAAAACAATAAAATTAAACAAATCATCTGGGGTAGTTTGACATGATTTGCTTACATTTTTGGCAAGAACCTGAGAATTCTTATGTCATTTTATAATGCCTGGCAGCATGGGCCATCTTGCTTATCTTAAATGCTATGGATTACCAGTGGTATATGCTGGTCATTGTTTTATTGATACCAGTGGTGTATGCTGGTCAGTTGTTTTTTTTTATTGATACCAGTGGTGTATGCTTGTCATTGTTTTATTGATACCAGTGGTGTATGCTGGTCAGTTTTTTTTTTTTATTGATACCAGTGGTGTATGCTTGTCATTGTTTTATTGATACCAGTGGTATATGCTGGTCATTGTTTTATTGATACCAGTGGTGTATGCTGGTCAGTTGTTTTTTTTTATTGATAACAGTGTTGTATGCTGGTCATTGTTTTATTGATACCAGTGGTGAATGCTGGTCATTGTTTTATTGATACCAGTGGTGTATGCTGGTCAGTTGTTTTTTTTATTGATAACAGTGTTGTATGCTGGTCATTGTTTTATCGATACCAGTGGTGTATGCTGGTCATTGTTTTATTGAGACCAGTGGTATATGCTGGTCATTGTTTTATTGATACCAGTGGTATATGCTGGTCATTGTTTTATTGATACCAGTGGTATATGCTGGTCAGTGTTTTATTGATACCAGTGGTGTATGCTGGTCATTGTTTTATTGATACCAGTGGTGTATGCTGGTCATTGTTTTATTGATACCAGTGGTGTATGCTGGTCATTGTTTTATTGATACCAGTGGTATATAATGTCAATGTTTTATTGATACCAGTGGTGTATGCTGGTCATTGTTTTATTGATACCAGTGGTATATGCTGATCATTGTTTTATTGATACCAGTGGTGTATCCTGGTCAGTTGTTTTATTGATACCAGTGGTGTATGCTGGTCATTGTTTTATTGATACCAGTGGTATATGCTGGTCATTGTTTTATTGATACCAGTGGTGTATGCTGGTCATTGTTTTATTGATACCAGTGGTGTATGCTGGTCATTGTTTTATTGATACCAGTGGTATATGCTGGTCATTGTTTTATTGATACCAGTGGTGTATGCTGGTCATTGTTTTATTGATACCAGTGGTGTATGCTGGTCATTGTTTTATTGATACCAGTGGTGTATGCTGGTCATTGTTTTATTGATACCAGTGGTATATAATGTCAATGTTTTATTGATACCAGTGGTGTATGCTGGTCATTGTTTTATTGATACCAGTGGTGTATGCTGGTCATTGTTTTATTGATACCAGTGGTGTATGCTGGTCATTGTTTTATTGATACCAGTGGTATATGCTGGTCATTGTTTTATTGATACCAGTGGTATATGCTGTCATTGTTTTATTGATACCAGTGGTATATGCTGGTCATTGTTTTATTGATACCAGTGGTGTATGCTGGTCATTGTTTTATTGATACCAGTGGTGTATGCTGGTCAGTGTTTTATTGATACCAGTGGTGTATGCTGGTCATTGTTTTATTGATACCAGTGGTATATGCTGGTCATTGTTTTATTGATTCCAGTGGTGTATGCTGGTCAGTGTTTTATTGAGTCTAGAGTTATGATATTCCTTTTTGTGATATTACATATGTTTTAATGACAGGACAGACCACGGTTTTCAAGGTGTCATTAAGAGATGGGGGATGAAAGGTATGCCTGCAACTCACGGTGTGACCAAATCACACAGAAAAATGGGATCTACTGGTGGTGGTGGAGTAAGTCAGATTATTGTTTTGTTTATCTGGTGGTGGTGGAATAAGTCAGATTATTGTTTTGTTTAACTGGTGGTGGAGTAAGTCAGATTATTGTTTTGTTTAACTGGTGGTGGTGGAGTAAGTCAGAATATTGTTTTGTTTAACTGGTGGTAGTGGAGTAAGTCAGATTATTGTTTTGTTTAACTGGTGGTGGTGGAGTAAGTCAGAATATTGTTTTGTTTAACTGGTGGTAGTGGAGTAAGTCAGATTATTGTTTTTCAACTGGTGGTGGTGGAGTAAGTCAGATTATTGTTTTGTTTAACTGGTGGTAGTGGAGTAAGTCAGATTATTGTTTTGTTTAACTGGTGGTGGTTGAGTAAGTCAGATTATTGTTTTGTTTAACTGGTGGTGGTTGAGTAAGTCAGAATATTGTTTTGTTTAACTGGTGGTGGTGGAGTAAGTCAGATTATTGTTTTGTTTAACTGGTGGTGGTGGTGGAGTAAGTCAGATTATTTTTTTTTCAACTGGTGGTGGTGGAGTAAGTCGGATTATTTTTTTTCAACTGGTGGTGGTGGAGTAAGTCGGATTATTGTTTTGTTTAACTTTAACTGGTGGTGGTGGAGTAAGTCAGATTATTGTTTTGTTTAACTGGTGGTGGTGGAGTAAGTCAGATTATTGTTTTGTTTAACTGGTGGTGGTGGAGTAAGTCAGAATATTGTTTTGTTTAACTGGTGGTAGTGGAGTAAGTCAGATTATTGTTTTGTTTAACTGGTGGTAGTGGAGTAAGTCAGATTATTGTTTTGTTTAACTGGTGGTGGTTGAGTAAGTCAGAATATTGTTTTGTTTAACTGGTGGTGGTGGAGTAAGTCAGAATATTGTTTTGTTTAACTGGTGGTGGTGGTGGAGTAAGTCAGATTATTTTTTTTTTCAACTGGTGGTGGTGGAGTAAGTCGGATTATTTTTTTTCAACTGGTGGTGGTGGAGTAAGTCGGATTATTGTTTTGTTTAACTTCAACTGGTGGTGGTGGAGTAAGTCGGATTATTGTTTTGTTTAACTGGTGGTGGTGGAGTAAGTCAGATTATTGTTTTGTTTAACTGGTGGTGGTGGAGTAAGTCAGATTATTGTTTTTCATCTGGTGGTGGTGGAATAAGTCAGATTATTGTTTTTCAACTGGTGGTGGTGGAGTAAGTCAGATTATTGTTTTTCATCTGGTGGTGGTGGAATAAGTCAGATTATTGTTTTTCAACTGGTGGTGGTGGAGTAAGTCAGATTATTGTTTTGTTTAACTGGTGGTGGTGAAGTAAGTCAGATTATTGTTTTGTTTAAATGGTGGTGGTGGAGTAAGTCAGATTATTGTTTTGTTTAACTGGTGGTAGTGGAGTAAGTCAGATTATTGTTTTGTTTAACTGGTGGTGGTGGAGTAAGTCAGATTTTTTTTTCAACTGGTGGTGGTGGAGTAAGTCAGATTTTTTTTTTCAACTGGTGGTGGTGGAGTAAGTCAGATTATTGTTTTGTTTAACTGGTGGTGGTGGAGTAAAAAAGTAAAGTTCCTCTTTCAAACCTGACTGTCTATAGGGCAAGTGAAGTAGAGTTCACTTGTTTCTGTGACCTCTGCATATGAACAGATAGTGTGGTCAGCACTATGCTCAGCCGTCTTTACTTTCCCTAACGTGAGTTCAGGGGCGGTTACTGTTTTGAACCCGAATTCGAACTCGAGACTTATGTGTTAGCAGTCCAGCTCCCTACCGCTAGACCACCCCGTTCCATGTTGGTGGAGTAAGTCAGATCATTTTTTGTTTTTCATGATTGTTAATTTTACATGGCCTTGTCAGAGATGTATCTAGATACATAAACACTTTGTTGTATATTGGTGGTAACATGGCTGTAACTAATCAGATCACCATACATAGGGCGAAAATGTTATCATACATCCCAGAAATATTTGTATTTGCTGTGATCAATTAAATTCAAACTTAAGTACCAGGTGCCTGCAGGATTTTTTGCAAGCTGTTATATAATTGGATTCCTTTGTTGTCGCTAACATTTTGTGACTATGATTAGATTCCTCTTTTATCGCTAACATTTTGTGACTACGGTTAGATTCCTCTTTTATTGCTAACATTTTGTGTCCAAGATTAGATTCCTCTTTTATCGCTAACATTTTGTGACTACGGTTAGATTCCTCTTTTATTGCTAACATTTTGTGTCCAAGATTAGATTCCTCTTTTATCGCTAACATTTTGTGACTACGGTTAGATTCCTCTTTTATTGCTAACATTTTGTGTCCAAGATTAGATTCCTCTTTTATCGCTAACATTTTGTGACTACGGTTAGATTCCTCTTTTATTGCTAACATTTTGTGTCCAAGATTAGATTCCTCTTTTATCGCTAACATTTTGTGTCCAAGATTATATTCCTCTTTTATCGCTTACATTTTGTGTCCAAGATTATATTCCTCTTTTATCACTTACATTTTGTGTTCGATTCCTCTGCTATGTTAATGTTTGAATCCACAGGACAAGGATGGGATATGGAAGGGCAAGCATATGCCAGGTATGATGGGGAACAAACTGAGATCCTCATATGGTCTTAAGGTAAGCACATAATTTATTGTGATAGAATCAACCCCTTAGTTACCCAGATGTCAATGATGTGTGTAACATATTCACAAAATATTATTTGATCAAATTTTGTGTTTAATGGTGAATTTAACTTTTTCATTCATACTAGTTTTATAGTTTTAAACAAGTGTTATATGTTGCTTTTTTTTTCAAGTTTTTATTTTTTCAACTTTCATTCATTTTCAAAACAACTTTAAATAATGTTTATATTATGGGTCATCCATCAATGACATCCTACTCTTGTGAGGGGGGAGGGGTCAGACTTAAGTCATGATGTGAGCGGGAGGGGGGTGCGGGTTCAGAAAGGGGCAACATACTTATGAATTTTTTAGTAGTGAAAGTCATTTTCAAAAGTTTTTTTAAATAGTTTTAAATTCATTTTTTTTTTCATGATTTGTATTTTAACTTTTTATAATAACTTTAAAAAATTTGTTTTATATTTGCATCTTTGAAAACTGTTTGAACTAAATTTATCTGTTAATGGTACTTTGTATATCATTAACAGCCACAAACAATGTTCCCTCTAAGGGGGAAAAAGATTGTGTGCGACGTATATTTTGTGTGTGCTGTGTTCTAAAAGTCTTATATAAGGATACATGTATTTTACAAAATGACTGCGCGGCAGTTAAAAACTAGTGCGCAGCCGCGCAGCTTAGAGGGACCATAGGCCACAAATCAGCTTTTCTGTTGGGTTATGTTTTCAACATTTTAAAATATCCCTTATTTGGTTTTCGTGCTCATAAATTTTCATTTTCAACATTTTAAACCGGCACCCATTCACTTTTTCAGATCTGGAGGATCAACACCAAGTACAACATTCTGTATGTGACTGGCAGAAGTGTGGCAGGCCTCCCACACACCTTTGTGCGGGTGTGGGACACCTTGCTCCCTCTGAAGAGAATCAGGCCTGAGAATGCCGAGGGCCTGCCCATGCCAACTTGGTTCCCAGACGACGCCAGCGAGCCCCTCCCTGAGGAGCTGTTTGATGAGGATTTGTTCCAGTTCACTGACCCCTCAATTGACCTGGAGGCCGAGTCATAGATTGTAATCATTTTTATTAATTTTTGTATAGTTAACAAACAAATAAATCCCTGTATGCATACATTAATTTAGTGTGTTGCTTTGTTTTTTCATAGAGGTTTGAAATACTTCTGTAACCAGTTCTGGTAATTTAATGTTGATTATCAGAATGAGCCAGTGATTGAATAATGTAGACAATTTTTTCCTATTAATTTTCTTAAAGAAAACAAACACTATTTGAATTAGTTAAAAATTAATTAAAAGATTTCAAAAGGTTAATTCTCTCAATTTGTTACAAATTATCAAAGCTATTATAAACATTTTATCCCAGCTTATCTCCCCTTCCAAGGTAATGGCCACCAACTACAGATGTGCTTAGTACTTTATTCAGTCTTATAACAAGAGATGGCCTATGGTGTGATTGACACCCGAAGGCCCATGTAATGGTTGATATCAGATGGTGCAATTGATGCAAGATGGCCCATGTTTTGATTGACATCAGATGGCCCATTGTGTGGTTGACATCAGATAGCACTTGTATTTTGGTTGACATCAGATAGCACTTGTATTTTGGTTGACATCAGATGGCCCTTGTACTTTGGTTGACATCAGATAGCACTTGTATTTTGGTTGACATCAGATGGCCCTTGTATTTTGGTTGACATCAGATGGCCCTTGTACTTTGGTTGACATCAGATGGCCCTTGTATTTTGGTTGACATCAGATAGCACTTGTATTTTGGTTGACATCAGATGGCCCTTGTATTTTGGTTGACATCAGATGGCCCTTGTATTTTGGTTGACATCAGATGGCCCTTGTATTTTGATTGACATCAGATGGCTGATGGTGTGGTTGACATCAGATGGCCCGTGTTTATGGTTGACATAAGCTGGCCAGAATCTACTTAGTAAATTACCTTTCTATATTGTGGATTTAATGCCACATATCTTGTTCCTGTCATATTAGCCCTTTTATCAGCTGTCCAGTTCCTTATAGTTTACCTCCTAACCAGTTTAGCTAGTAAAAGCATATTACACAACAACCTAGAAATGTGCTTTAGTAATACGATAGACGAGTGGCCTAGCGGTAGAGAGCTGGACTGCTAAGCCCAAAGTCACGAGTTCGAGTTAGTTCAAGTCCCTGAGTACACCGAACTCTGGGCATGGTGAATTGTTCGTATAATTTGTTTTTAGTAGTAGGCTCAATTTCTACAAGTTATAACACATCCGTCTTTTTGGCATCTCTTATACTGTCTAGCGGAAATAATTAACGCAATTTAATCTGACACAAGACAAGACTGACTACTGAAGGCTACTAGTATGGTACATTTATTACAATATATGCCAGTTATCATTTGGGTTTTTTTTTTGAAGAGTTAAGTCTGTTATAAGATTATAACTTTGCTGTGATTGTTCTACCAATTAAATTATTTCACAATTTAATGGTGAAATAAGCTAATTAATTATTACAACCACTAAAGTTGACTATAGGGTTGGAATGAGCATTATTCTCATATATATATATATATATATATATATATATATATATATATATATATATATATATATATATATATATATATATATAAACACCAATTATGAATATGACGTAAATTAACTTAATTAACATACTACTATATTTATTAATCCACCGACGTTTGTTTCAACTATAAATATTCAAATGCGTGACGTCAGTGTTAACCTTATTTGGTGCCGTGTTTGCTTATCTCCCTTGTTTGTTCAGCTGTTGCTATTGATATGTGAGTTTTTATTGGTCAGGTTAATTAAAACGTTTTTCTTAACTCAGCTTCGCGTTTGTTTGTTTGTTTGGTTGTTTGGATGTTTGTTGTTAAAATTGACATCGAAAATTAGCCCACTTCTGATTGCTCTAGAGACCTGAAATTTGGCATGCATGCTACTTTCGCCTAACAATTTCAGATGCAATCATAAAAACTAGCAATTAGTGACCGTAATTAGCTTAATTTAATTACGCCCCAAGGACCATAAAATTGAGGACATGATTTCTAAAGATACCGACAAGACTGGAGCCTTATTGACACAGTTACTTCGGCCCCAATCGATGTGAGCGCGCTGGCCGTGATTGTATAGTGGTTAGTACTTCGCGTTGTGGCCGCGACAACCCAGGTTCGAATCCTGGTCGATCAAGATTTTTAGTCCGTGTATTTATAAACACTTTTTTAAAAACCACGTTTTTCATGTGTAGCAACGGACTAAAAAGGAGAAAATAAAATACTTAAAAAAAACTTTTTTAAAAACCACGTTTTTCATGTGTAGCAACGGACTAAAAAGGAGAAAATAAAATACTTAAAAAAAACTTTTTAAAAAACCACGTTTTTTATGTGTAGCAACGGACTAAAAAGGAGAACGGACACGGTAACACATTGTTAACGGTGACACGGTTGGTACGCTGGGCATGCTAAAATATACATAAACACGTTTTTCCTTAACTCAGCTTCGCGTTTATTTGTTTGTTTATGGGAGATTTGATCACGTGATTCGTGAGTAGATCTCCACGCCAGCAACGTAAATTACACCCTTTCTCTGTTTAAAGCGTATCGGTCGCTCAAGATTTTTTTAGTCCGTGTATTTAAAAACACTTAGTCAAGTCATACTTAATCAAGTGATTAGATAAAGTAGACAATAAACTATATAAAAAACTTTTTAAAAACCACGTTTTTCATGTGTAGCAACGGACTAAAAAGGAGAAAATAAAATACTTAAAAAAAACTTTTTAAAAAAACACGTTTTTCTTGTGGACTAAAAAGTAGAAAATAACTATTTACATACATTTGATGACAAAAAACGTGGGTCGGGCAGATGGGTCGGGAAATTTGATGGTGAACGTACCCACGTTTTTTGTCATCAAATGTATGTAAATAGTTATTTTCTACTTTTTAGTCCACAAGAAAAACGTGGTTTTTTAAAAAGTTTTTTTTAAGTATTTTATTTTCCGTGGTATCGTCCCCTTTTACGTAATGTTAAGGTTCGTGCACATATTGTGTAAAACGGAGAGGACGGTGGCTTATATTTTTTTATATTGTGTTATATTAGTCATATTATGCAGGCCTTGAACTATGTTACACAAGTTCAATAAAACTCCTTAGGTCTTTAGCAGACTTTTTTCTCCTGGGGGGCATTTGATATTTGCGGGGGGGGGGGGGGGGGGGGGTACTCATTTCTGAGGGTCTCGCCGCCCCCCCCCCCTAAGAGATGCCTGAAAGAAACTCTGGTATTTAGGTGATTTTACTAATTTGTTCACTTTAGCTTATTTTTTATTTTATTTTGTTTAATGGGGGGATAAGTTGACTCCTCTTGTTTACACATTCCTCCGGTCAGAGATATCCTATAGGCCCATTCAGTTGTATTTGTATCTAGAACACACATGCGCACGACTGGGTTCTGTAGATCAGTGGCGTCACCATGTCGGGTGTCAGCTGGTACTGTAGTTCGGTGTGTCGCCCCCCCCCCCCCACGCTCCCAAGTTTTGTATTTTTGCTCATTTTTTCTTTATTTTTTAAAAAATTATTATTTAAACTAATTGAAATATTTCTGCAAAAGTGTTTTGCGATTTTATAATTGGATGTCACCCTCCCCTCCTTAATCGATGAAACTGGTGCTGGCCGCAATCCCGCCACTGTCTAGTGACGCTTCTGCTGTAGATACAGATTTTATTTTTTATTTTATTTTTTATTTTTCTTTCTTTTAATTTAGACCAACTAAGGCTTATCTGGACAAATCGCCCGATGTATGTATGGCAAAGTTTCCAGGCTCTTGATACAAATCTAGCCTGAACTTGAATATTGACTTGTTTCCACTTTTAAAAGCTGATACATCCCAATCTTATCTCTCAGAGTTGATAGATTCCTATCTTTTTTTTAAACCGTCAGTTACCATATTCATTAGCTTATTATTTCACTTATTAATACAGATTGGTGCAAATTATTATTAGACGTAGTATTTTAATTACTAAACTATTTTAGTTTTACCACCCCGCAGCTTTGTTGATGCACCATAGTAAGATTTATTGTATAATAGCCTGTAGCGTAGGAAAATAAAATGGCCTAATTAAGGAACTTGTTTCGACTATTTTTAAAATCCACAACAATAACACACTCAAAGCCATCTCAGCCAAGGCCAAAGTCTGCATCCTTGAGGCAGACCAAATGTAGGGCTCTCGGTCCAAGTTTCTCACAGATTCGTGGTCAATATTTTATTTGTTTTCGTTACTTTCATGAATACCTGGGCATTAAATTGACGTATGTAGGTCAATGGGGCTCCGAAGACCCCCCCTCCCCGCCCCCATCTCACCGAAATGATATTAATAGAAAAATATTTAATCGAGATGATTGAAAGTAAACATAATCTTATGTGATTTGGTTATTATTTTTTTATTTTTTTATTTATGGAAAATACGAATTTACGAGTATAATTGTTCAGATTATCCGTCGATAATTACCGAGTGACCTCCCTTGTTAAAACTAACCGCAGACGCCCTTGACAACCGATGAGTTAGAACGACTACGTTATATTCAACACATTGTGTGGCTCCGGGTACACCTTGGACATTACGTAAGCAGTTTTTTTAAACACCTATCTATACAAATAGGACTGCGTGATAGTTGAAGTACTTGGCTAACATTGGTCGAAATATTCGTAGGGAAAACTAGGCACTATATTAAGGACGAATTTTTATTAAAAAGTTGAACACATTTTTTGTTGCTCAAGAATTTTTTCTACAATTACCACACACCCAATGTCATTTGCTTTCTATGGCCTCAACATATGAAGAGTTTGTGAAGTCCAACCGACTTAATTCAAGTATCGTTTGCACTGTTGTTTAATGGTGTCCCACTGGGGATTCTTCTTCATCTGCAATATTGAAAATCTGTAAACTTCCTCCCACCCCGTTCTATTGCCATGACAACTAATGTGATATATATATATATATATATATATATATATATATATATATATATATATATATATATATATATATATATATATATATATATATATATATTGGCTTCTTGAAACACCCCTTACCATAGAAAAATGCCCTCCCTAAC